TTGGACAGGGCGAAGCACAAGTCGCCGAGCTCCTTCCTGCGCACGTCCAGCGCCTTCGCGGCAGCGTTGAAAGCCGCAGCCGCCTCCCTTCTGCTGACCATTCGGCCTTCTTTCTGCTGACTACTCCGATAGACTGTGACAACGAGGCAATTGTTGAGTTCATGAGGTGCGTGAAAGGTAAGAGTGGTGCGGGTTCAAATCTGGAAAGGAGTTCACTCACACGCACCCAGCAACCCCGCACCAAGATCTCATCTCGACGTGTCCCCTCAATTGCTCTCATGTCGTGCAGCCTCGGCGGCTGGCCTCGGCATGGGGAGCGCGGCTGGAGCTGGTGAGTTGGTTGTGCTAGCCCAGGCTTGACCTGACCTAAGACTCCGGCTCTAGTGCTCCGCGGCGGTGTAGTATGTACGTGATCAATCGTGAAGAGCGCGGTACAGTACGCTGGCCGTCGCAGGAATCTATCTAAAACACTGGGGTCCTGGTGAAGCAGCTGACCGCGTACGAAAAGTATATAGATGTGGAAGGTGTTGTGAATTGGTAACTATGCCATTGCTTAGCACGTATTGCATACAACCTTAGCACATCATTGTGTTACAAAATAAGCAGACAAGCGCAAGCACTAATAAAGGCAAGAGCCCAGAGATGCCGTGCAGATCGCACGGTACCAAAACCAGTTCGTCCAGAGAGCTGACCGCCACAAACTTAGTTCTACAACACTCCCACGCGGTGTAACAGCCGTCTCTTACCTTCGCTGTTTTAGCGGAAGTGGAGGGTCTCGTCCACGATTGGCGACCCAGCGTTAGGCGCGAGAAGAGACAAGGGAAGTCGGGATTCGAAGACATACGTCGAGAACAGTGACAGCGGAGTCTTGAACATCCGAACACTGGTATAGTGATATGAAAGTGTCTGGCCGAAGCACTTCACCAGGATGGCTTAAATGCGGCCCACCTGCCGCCATCTCCATTCCTGGAGTCTTGGTGTCGTACGCTAGGTTGTGATAGCGTACCAGAAAGTGAGTTAGTACAGTTAACGAGTATGGTTCGTAAATACGGGACCGTACCGTTACTGTGATTAAGCTTTAATAGCTTAAAGATATTCTAAGGGTGCATTTCCAGTGCGGATTAAGGCCAGGGATTAAGGTCCCGCTATTCCCGGCTAATCCCCGGCTAATCCCTGGCAATTCTTAAGGCCTGGGATTAGCGCGGGGATTAAGGCTGTACAAAGGGCGATGCACATTTTTTGATGCGATCTCGAAGCTAATATTACCAGTTCTGAATTGCTTTGGGCATTAGGCATCGTATGAGTATAAAATATGGGCAGGAAGCGCACTCTTCTCGCCGTTGTGAGGCCTGACATTGAAGTAGCACCTTTCAAGCAAACCAAAATAGGGGGGTCCTTGTGAAGCAGCTGCCCGCGTTTCCAAAGCACGTATGGTGTTGGATTGTAAGGTGCCCAAGTACGTTTGCGAGGAAGAGAATGTGGCCAGGCTGGAGAGGAAAGTGCAGTGGCATATTGGAATGTGAGATTAGCGTAAGCGAATTTACGTGCATACCTTTCACCGTAGCATCAGTCCTCAGTTCACTTTTTGGAACGAACATCAGCATAGGTCCAAGCCCTCTCGCTTGGAGGGATATGCAAACAAACATCCTGATAGGGGTAAACTCGCACGCTACCGAGCATTCAACTGAGCATATGCATGCTTAGTTGAATGGTGAGATGCGACCCCCCCTTCATTTCGTGCTCGGCAAGCCTGCCACCGCGTACCGGATATGTTGGCGATGTTACAGAGACGCTTCACCGCGGGCACGTCCCTATGCACAGCAAATAGCTGTTCCAAGCCAACAGCGGCGTCCATGTCACCAACAAGGCTCTAAACGTCTTATCTGTTCTTATGTTTAATTAAGTTTATGTATGTTATACTTTGTGCAACTTTGTAATTTGACTTTACTCTGAACAAGGTGCTGTATACGTTGCACTACCAAAAACGCGACCGTTTGCTTGCACACAACTGCCTCTTCGCCAGACGCTTCCTCTTCCCGCGGCAGTTTCACGAGCCCAGTGTTGCAAGCTACGACGTAGGCTTTCGGTGCTTTCAGTTACTGCAAAGCAGCCACGCAATAGACTAGGCTGCATGCCGCGTGCGATTATGGCCATCGTGCCCACCTGCGCAACGCGCTGGCGCACCTCGTCCTTTTCCGCCAAAAAAAATTATATACACTTGTACAGGCGCATTTTGAGAATCCGTACGGCTGCTTAATCAGATATTGCTTACTTGGGGTCATCCATATGGAATTATCTAGAAATTAAAATAAGATATGACGCCAAGAATGCTAATCCAGTTACGGAAAGTTACTACCTGGGTGGGGCCAGGTAATAACTTTTTTGTCACAAGTTGCCAGGTAAATACATGGACATCAAGTTCAGTTTATGTTCTTTCCTAATCTCTTGCTAACTCCTGCTAGTCCTCTGAATAGAGAACACGGTGTCCTGAGGAATCTCTTAATCCCCGGCTAATCCTGCTTAATCCCGGTGGGATTTCCACTGCTGGGATTAGCACAGGGATTAACGCTAATCCCTGGCCTTAATCCGCACTGGAAATACACCCTAAGGTAAATGTAGCTTGCTACACGCGGGCAGACCTCTGGGAACTGAAACTTCAAAACAAACTCCTCAACGCATACCCATCGCCTGGATGCGCTTCTTGAACTGAGGAAGAGGCAAAGGCTTCCTCAGACAATCGGCAACCATGTCCGCCGACTTGCAGTAGGGAAACACGATCTCACCCCGCGCTACACGCTCGCGAACGAAATGGTGAAGCACGTCAATATGCTTTGACCTGGCGGACGAAATGGATTGTTGATGATCTTGATTGCCGCCTGATTATCGCACAAGATAGGTACCGATGACACCCGCATCTGCAAATCACGTGCCAAGTGACGATACCACAAAGCCTCCTTAGTCGCCGCTCCACTCGCCATATATTCTGCCTCCGCGGTTGATGTAGCCACGGTAGGCTGCAAACGACTTGACCAGCTAACAGCTCCACCAGCATTCAAAAACATGTAGCCGGTAGTCGAACGACGTGTATCGAACGACGTGTATCGATGCATGCTGCATAGTCCGAATCGCAATACCCATGCAAAGAAGGATTACTCGACTTCGAAGAATAGACGATACCCACACCAGTTGTACCAGCAATGTAACGAACAACCCCCTTTGCTGCCTGCCAATGCTCCACCGTGGGCTTGGACATGTGACGGGCTAGGGCTCCCATGGAATATGCAATATCAGGCCTAATGCCCGACAAATACAGCAGACTCCCAATAAGCTCTCCAAAACAGAATTGCCGTACATCAAGTGGTTGACCAGCTGAGCGCAAAGTAGTGCCGTGCGACAAAGGCACAGCGCGCCCATTGGCATCTTCCAGCCCGTACTTCTCAACTAGCCTCTTGGCGTACCTCTTCTGTGATACCTTCAATGTACACTCAGGCCGATTACGCTCAATCTCAAAGCCCAAAAACACACGGGCCTCCCCTAAGTCACGCACATCAAAGATGGACTTCAACGTCTCTTTCAACTGCCTTCAACTGGCGCACGATATTAAGATCCTTCACGGCAATTAGAAGGTCCACATAGACCAGCAAATATACGCGTTCTCCCAGAACATCACGGTAAAACAATCCCGGGTCAGCTTGAGACACGGTAAAATTCATAGCTTCATAGTTTCAGCCTGTACAGTGCCTTCTCCAACTTGCACGCTAAATAAGGTTCGCCCTCAACATAACCAGGTGGCTGCTGGATATAGACCGGTGAAGTACGTCGGCGAAACATAATGTGGCAGGACTAGAGAGAATACTGCAGCAGTATATTGTGAGTGTAGTTGTAGCATTACAAGGCGTTCGGTGCACATTTACGTGCATACCTTTCATCGTGGGCGCGTCCCGTTGCAAGCTAAGCAACGCATATACATGACGTGTAAGGACGTTAGGCCCATTGGCCGCTCATCCAAATCAAGTATTCTCTAACTAACACCAAAGGCGTTCCTTGTACGATAGGGCCTTATGGCACTAGCGTCCAACTCAGTTAAAATACTGATCTTTACCTAAAAACGGTATTCTTCAATACCACCAAATTGTGGACTTCTAACTCCTTGAGTTAGTTAGCATACGACGCGGCACCCTATAGGGACCTAGCATCGTTACAGTTTGGCATCGAAGACCACAAAATCCTGCGACCTCAAACGGTCATTGCTTCCGCGAATTCTCCCACAAGCTAATTCTCATAATGTCTGCAAAAATCTCCAACAGCGTGGACAGCGACTGCAGCGGCAGGAGCAACCGTAATGGCAGGAAGTCCACCCACGCCCGCAACATGGAGGTAACACGCCTCAAAACGGCGAAGCATGCTTATAATCGTGAGGTTCAAATGTTCAACCTCGCGCGCAAGGCGCATCCCGATTATAAGTTGCCCGCCGAATTGAAGTTGCTAGTCAATCGCGCGCTGCGGGACAAGACCGCCGATCTTTACTGGTGTGCATTTAAAGAGCTAAAAGCTCACCGCTTTTCGCTTCCTGAATTGCCGCAGAATGGCCGGAACCTCCTCGACGAGCTCGAGGGGGCTGCGGAGATGCAGACAAAGGGCGCCCCAAGCGGCACGACGGTCCCCAATCAGGGTAAGAACCGTAAGCGTCCAAGGGACAGCACCAGCAGCGACTCGCCCAATTTGACGGGCAGTCTGCCCCCACCATCCCACCCGCGCTCCAAGTCAGCTGCCAGAAAGGCACAACATGCGAGTCATGTTGGCGAGGCGCGTCGCTCCAAGCAGCGTCATGCTGATGGGTCAAAACATGTCCATTTTGCTCCCATTCCCCAAATGACAGTGCTGCAGGAGGACACGCCCAACACAGCCTTTAGGAAGGAGGCAACCATGAAGTTTGCGGAGCTACACGGCTCCCTGCAACAACTGGGCGGCTCTGTATCGGAGCTAATGCGAATGGTTGGGAGCTTACAGCCCTTTGCAAACTTCATGGTTGCCTCCTTCCTAAAGGCCGTGTTGGGCGTGTCCTCCTGCAGCACTGTCATTTGGGGTCCGGGAGCAAAATGGACATGTTTTGACCGATCAGCATGACGCTGCTTGGAGCGACGCGCCTCACCAACATGACTCGCATGTTGTGCCTTTCTGGCAGCTGACTTGGAGCGCGGGTGGGATGGTGGGGGCGGACTGCCCGTCAAATTGGGCGAGTCGCCGCTAGTGCTGTCCCTTGGACGCTTACGGTTCTTACCCTGATTGGGGACCGTCGTGCCCTTTGTCTGCATCTCCGCAGCGCCCTCGAGCTCGTCGAGGAGGTTCCGGCCATTCTGCGGCAATTCAGGAAGCGAAAAGCGGTGAGCTTTTAGCTCTTTAAATGCACACCAGTAAAGATCAGCGGTCTTGTCCCGCAGCACGTGATTGACTAGCAACTTCAATTCGGCGGGCAACTTATAATCGGGATGCGCCTTGCGCGCGAGGTTGAACATTTGAACCTCACGATTATAAGCATGCTTCGCCGTTTTGAGGCATGTTACCTCCATGTCGCGGGCGCGGGTGGACTTCCTGCCATTACGGTTGCTCCTGCCGCTGCAGTCGCTGTCCACGCTGTTGGAGATTTTTGCAGACATTATGAGAATTAGCTTGTGGGAGAATTCGCGGAAGCAATGACCGTTTGAGGTCGCAGGATTTTGTGGTCTTCGATGCCAAACTGTAACGATGCTAGGTCCCTATAGGGTGCCGCGTAGTATGCTAACTAACTCAAGGAGTTAGAAGTCCACAATTTGGTGGTATTGAAGAATACCGTTTTTAGGTAAAGATCAGTATTTTAACTGAGTTGGACGCTAGTGCCATAAGGCCCTATCGTACAGGAACGCCTTTGGCGTTAGTTAGAGAATACTTGATTCGGACGAGCGGCCAATGGGCCTAACGTCCTTACAGGCTGCTTAACAACGCAAGGCTCACCTGAGCATCCCGGGTTACGCCTTTGCTTTGTTACAATGGTATCGAGACGGGGCCGCACGACTTCCGATGAAATCTTTGGGTCGGCGGTTCGATTCTGACAACAAGCAGGTATCACAAAATGCGATTATCATGGTGTAATGGATAAACCAGCGCACGAGGCGTGAGGTGGGATGGCTCCAATGCTCGATATAATGGCCGAGGACGTCCTTTGCTAAAGGGGGGCAATGTAACAACGCAAGGCCCATCTGAGCATCCCGGTTTATGCCTTTGCTTTGTTACAGAGGCTGCATAAAAATGCATATGTTCACAACACAGCTCCTCAGAGATGCGCCTTCACAATCCAAACAATTGTATTTACAGCTAACTGCAGAAAGAAACCCAGCCTTATCTCTTCACTTTGTTTAAGCATTGCGGCTGAGAGTGGACGAGCTTTTGTGCTAGCAGGGTCAGCTCGCTGAGACATGCCATAGGATCCGATGTGGTGTCGCCTCGCAGAACTTCTGCTCCAATGCCGACTGTGCGTGAAGTGATCGCTGCAGTCGATGGAGAGACTGAGGCCTCGATAGCTCCCATACTCCAAGTTCTTGAAAGGGAGGGTTACTGAGGCAGGAGGACGTAAATGACCTGTGATCACAACTCAATCTCCGGCAACGCAACACCCTGAAGGAGGCAATTGAAACAGGCATGCATTGGCAAACTTGGCTGCTTGTGGAAGCTCAGCGCATTCCTAGACTGGGTTGGGAGTTTCTCGGGTTCGTCATTTTGCTGGGGCTGGGCCTGTGACTGGGCTCCCGACGAGCACCGCTGTTTGCTTGTTTGTGTTCGCGATAGAAACACCCGCTGTATGTAGGAACAACGCTTGTTATTCGATTGTTGTAGTGTATGTATGTTGTTACAGGGTGGTCAACTTCGCCAGCGGCCCCCTTTCCCGGGGCAGTCCCTGCTCTCCCCTGCTAGAGGGGCACCCTAATCCGTCACCCCATCCGACTTCAGAATGTATTCGTTGGGTTCGGCAACTCACCACCAGCATCCAACCAAATCTAGCGGATCAACGGCGCATCAACTTAGTTCCTGGTCAGCTCGCAAGTTGATATTATCACGTCCTACACCGTCCATAAGATGGGGGGCCACCTCCCATTTCATCACTCCTCAAACACCCGAGGAGCCGGCAGGCGGATTTGAACCCGGGTCGACTGGGTCGACTGGGAGCAGAAGTCAGGCCTTAACCTCTGCCAGCCGCCTGCCAGCTGTCTTGAGTGACACACAGCTGACGCCTTTCCTTCCTCTTGGGGGGAAGGTACACCCAGACAGGTGCACCTGCGTGAGGTGCAAATCATTTTGCTGGGGGAAAAACAATGCAGGGGTTATATTACCTTGGTACATGCACACATGCTGACTCTTTTTAGTCATATTGTATTTTTAGGGTATTTCCTGGGATCCCATGACTAACGACGACATACCAGTCGTGTTACCACTTCATCTCACATAGCATATGAACTCACCTCACACACCAATCAAGCCATGCCTACACAACCTTGAATGATTGCTTAAATGATCGTGTCCAGCCTGAGTGCACCAGCCCCATGTGAAGCATTCCGGCATGTTGCGATTGAATCCCCGATTGCACAACCACCGCCTCTGTCTCTTCAGGATACAGCTTGATGTGCAATAATCCTGACCTGCATACATGTGACGTTCTCGTCATGCAGGCGCGGCGGCAGGGCCGGGCCCCGGGAGCACGGCAGCTGACGGTGAGACCCCATCTGCATTGCAGGGCCTCTAGGCCTGGCGCTCGTGGGAAGGGAACCGATCCTCAGGGGGAGTGATTGGGGTTTGGCTGAACGCTTATGGCATTAAGACGGGTGAGGCCAATTCGAGGCTCGTCTGCCCCTCGCTATGGAAGCAAGAAAAGAAGGCCTTTATCGGGGGTGTGGAGGCAGTTGCCCGGGGTGCTGGCCTCTATATCGGAAGGGCAGCAGCGAGGCCGTCGCACGGTAGGGCGGGTGGGTCGTTGCTGAGGGCTGCAGGGTGAGCTGGTTGCGCGCACTCGTGTTGGGTGCATGCTGGGATCTGTAAGAGGCGGCAAGGGGCGGCTGGCGGGTGGCAGGCCTGGCCCCAGCACCCGCCCAACACCCACCCCAGGGAAGCTCGCATAGAGCGCGCCAGCTGTAGGCAGGTTGGGGTGGGTGGGCGGGGTGCTCGCCTGGGCATGGCACGGTGGGTGCATGGGCTGCGGTGCGGGCCTGGGCCCCGGCACCTATGCTGTACTGCAAGTCAGCTGGAAGTTGTTCCGTCCGTCCCTTTCTGCTGCTGCTCTGTACCCGTTCGTTCCCGTGTTGGTTGCGTTAATAAGATCCTGCATGCATTTCAACTGGGCGACTGGCCGTACTTACTGACAAGTCCAGCTGCCAAGTTGGCTGGATCACGTGGTGCTAGCGAGGGGGGGCTAAGGGCTTGGCGAGAGTCCAAGAGAGAGTGAGTGCACGGCTTACCCTTGCCGTGACCCCTCCCCCCCACACACAGTGGCTTTGGCGGACCTTCAGAGGAAGTTCAAGATGGCTGGGAGCTGGACCTTCCAGGACTATCGCTCCATAGATAACGTCCTCACCTGGCTTCAAACTGCAGAGCTGCAGGAGCCGCCCATCACAGGCAGCGTGTCGGAGTTGTCGGAGGTCATGAGCATGAGCAGTGCTCCCGCTGCACTGTAGGCCTTGTTGTAGGAGCTTGCCATTCTCTTGCCGCAGTCGCAGCCGAGCTGGGTGGCAAACTCTCTGTGCAGCACAGCCTCATGGCGCGGTGCTTGCTGGCCGCCATGCAGGACGTGGCAGGAGGCTGGCTGGCAGTTTTTTTTTCATTTCTGCTGGTTAATTTTCCAGTCCGAACGGAGGAATAGGTTTTCAGTCGCGGGAATAAAGGTATTCCGAATCTGTAAGGCGCTGGGGGGGCTCCAACCCCCCCAGACCCACCCCCCCCCTCCCGATGAGTTACAGTTTAGTTCATGCAATCGCCGGGTTTGGGGAATGTCGAAACACGCATCGAATAGAGTTCGTTCACCATCGTTCGTCTTGCATCACGTTGAAAGATAACACTACACGATTTTCCAGGTTGCAGAAGTAATGATGCATAGCAGCAATGAACCGGAACCACCAAACGCAACCGGTTTCCTGGCCCATCGCGATTGCATCCATATGAGGAACATTGATGTTTGGCCCGGTCGCTGTTGACAATCGGAGTGGCGTCATTGTCGTCGGCTGGCTGCAGCATTGCGTCCACATTGCCTACGGCCCCTACACCGTCTTCATTAACGTTGCTAATGGCTTCAGTGAAGTTTAGTATCTGCTTTAATGGCCTTCAATGCTTTGGGAGCTTCGGGTCCGAATGTTTTGCAGCGTTTGGTCCGGTCAGAAACAGTTCGATTCCTCGTTGACTTTCGGGCGTGAGCTTCCTAACAGTATCCATGGCATTAAAGTACTATGATATGGGTAACATGTATGTCTCCTGTAAGATTCTAGCGGCTTTGGCATGGACAGTCCATTTTTGGCTGGAGGAATGAACTTGTATGGTTAGAACATTATTTATTCTTAACTTTCAGGACCATGAACATTTTTTTATTCCGAATTCGGAATATATTCCGCAAAAAAATAACGCTGCTGGCTGGCAGCGGCAACGTGCAGCCGCCAGCAGCGACTGCTGCGCACAGAGCTGTACGACTAGGCTGTGGTGGCGGGGCGGTACTACCGCCGCGGTAGCTGCAGCCGCGTGGCGGCGCTGCTGGTGGTGCTTGGTGTGCAGGCCTGGTGGCAGGGTGGCTAGGCACCGCCGAGGGTGGAATCGTGGTTGCTTACCAAGGCTGTGCGGCGCCTGCGCCTATAGGGGCTGCAGGCGACAGGTATGTTTGTTGCTGGCGGGATGGAGCAGGGAGCCGCGATGATGAGGCCGTGGTGTGGTGTCACGCGAACATCCTTGCGGTGCTGATGACTTCGGCGTGTCGCTGGTTGGCATGTGTTCCAGCGGACTAGATTTTGGCATCAAAGGCCTGAATGGACAACATGTTTAGGAGGCCCTCCTCCGCCCCCCCTGATGCTGCACTAAAGTCGGTAATGTATTAGCGGCCTTGCCGTTGCAGCTTTTGCATTGGGGTGGGGTATCCGTCCATGTTTCAGCTCTGTAGCCGAATGAAGCATATACTGGTAAATAACATGAAGTGCTGGTGGTCTGTGGATGGCTGCACTTGTGCTGGGTTGTGCTCCATGTTAGCTGTACGATTGTTGGGCTGTAGTGCGGTGCTGCCGGCCTGCCAAACATTCAACGTCTGCACTGTGAAATCCGTAATACCCACCTCAACTGGCTTTCAGCATGACGTGCGTTCACACGGCCTCTGCAACTGGATAGTGGGCCAACCGGGTACCGTGCTGCTACACGTGATTCGTGATATCAGAATTCGTGAAATGTTATTTTTGGGCCCTGAGATTTTCACGGCGCGCACCAGAATTAGGGGGGAGGCCGAGCCGCCCCACTCCAAAAAGGGCATTTCGATGAAAAGTGTGGATAGCCAGGGGAGAGCGGGGATGCACCAGGGGAGGTGCAGGCCAGGGGATCGTAGGAAAATGTGGGCAGCGAGGGGGTAGGGGGAGTGCGCGCAGGGGAGGAAGGTGAATTTGTTTATCGTCAATGTCTTCTCTTCGGCTAGGCGGGGGCATATGGACTATAAGGGTCTTTACTTGGTTGGTAGGTTGCGAAGGAACTGCAGGGCTGTGACAGTAGGGGGATGGAGAGGGGGATCGAGAGGCAATGACGCCGCCCTCCGCACCTCCGCTATGATGAGTGATTGGTTATCAAAAGGCGTGTGGGAGGTGCTGAGCTGCTGAGCTGTGCTACTGCAATGGTTGTGTTGATAAACACCGGTCTTGGGCGGAGGATCTCGACTAGGCCTTCTTGGCCCGGCACTTCTGCTGCCGGGCCTGCGTGGTGTATGTGTAGGCCGTGGGCGGCACACACTTACTCGACTCACGACGGTGCCATCCCCATCCGTGGAAGCTGGGTCGCTGATGCAAGCAAGCAAGGACACAGGTGTGCGGCCTCACGAGTGTAAACCGCCCCGCCGGTGGCTTTGTTTTGTCCGGATTGCGTGGGAGAGTTACATGCGCACGGCTCAGCCGCACTTGTCTGCTAGCTGTGTTCTGCACTGCACATGCCACTAGCGCATATTGCACACGGCGGTAACAGGAAGGGCAAGCGTGACCAGGTGCGTGGCGAAGCACACTACAAGGTATCACGCTTCGAGGCGACCAACAAGTACGTTGGTGGCAAGCTACAGGGCTTAGTAAAATTCAAAGGGTTCCCTAAAGCGGAATGGCTGCCTGCGCAGCAGCTGCAGGAGGACCTGAACCCCGACGCCTATCGCGCGCTGCGCAAGGCAATGAAAGTAACCTGATGCATCCATGTTTACATATCTCGCAAAATATATCAAATTCTGCAATTGTTTTTACGCTGTCGCAGCCTGGTGCAACTCCCGAGTTTCGCCGGAATTTCGCCCAAGTTTTGCGCGAATTCCCGAGGAATTCCCCACCACGAGTTTCCCCGAGTTCCCCGCGCGGGCGGAGCGCGTGCCCACCAGCTCCGCCCGCGCGTGCCCACCAGCGACTATCATGCACTCCAGCGAGTCCCGCCCGCACTGCAGCCCAACTCTCAACTCTCAACTGTGCGCCCATAGCCAGCTTATGGAAACCGGGTCAGCCCCATGCGTCTGATTTTACACGCAGCTCACACACGCAGCTTCCCAGACGGCGCGCGCACGACTGTGCACTCCCACTCGCGTGTCGCGCCAACCACCACACCCGCCGTGTGCAACCGTGCTCAGACGCAGCTTCCCAGACGCGTGCGCGCTCAACTGCCAGCTCCCACTCGCGCGCCTGCCGACTATCACCAACTGCCCGTGTGCGCCACTACAGTCCGGTAGCTTCCGAGCCGGGCCGCCGTACAACTACCTGCTCACACTCGCGCAGCTGCCGACTGCCACGCTACCGCCTGTCCATCCCCGGTATTTCGGGGCACCCTCATCTAGCCACCCTAGTCAACTTCTTAGTGGATCGCTCAGGTTCCGTACCCTCCACCAGCATCCAACGGAATCTGCCGGGTCGACAGCGGCCCAACTCCATTCCTGGTCAGCCCGCAGGTCTACTTTATCCGGGGTCACCATTGTCCATCGACTAGGGGCACTCTTACCTTCCACCATCGGAAGGATTTTCGAACCTGACAGGTCTCGATCCCGGAACCTTCGGGGGCATCGGTGTGTGCGAATATAGAAGATGGATGAATCGGTGTGTGCGAATGTAGAAAGGATATGGCTGTGTGCGATTCGGTGCGATATGTGTGTGCGAATACAAAAAAATATATATGGAAGGCTTGTTCTGGAATGCAAACCATGTTTTATGGAGCGATATTCGCGTTTTCCGGATGGCATATAACGCCGGCCGGCGTTGTATCAACCGCGGTTGATATGAAAGCGCGACAACATTATGGTGACTACCTAGGGTAGTCAGCTTCTTCGAAGCTGAAAAGGGTTTGGCGCCGGTGCAGCCAGTCACCCCGCAGTATTTTGCAGGGGAGGCTGTACGGCACTGGGCTGCACGGGGTCGTGCTTGGAGTAAACGCTCATTATTATGGAATGCTGCGAGGGCTGGGGTGCAGCGGCCGGCGGCGCTGGAGTGATGAAAAAGATATGTGTGCTAAGGCGCCAATGCAAATTCATGGACGGTGCAATCATATCCAAAGCACCAGGCATACATACTTGACCATCATTACCCTGCTGTCTGGCCACATCAAAATCACCTATACACGAACATACACGATATTTGCGATGATACACACAACGTCTTCGCCGTTAACATCAAAATAAAGTGTAGACTGTAAGTCGAAACGCGATTCGGTTCCTCCGTTTGCAGCGATCTGCCTTTTCGGCTTCGAAAAGCAGCTGACAGCCGCTTAGTCCTTTGCCATAGCAAAGTTCTGTAACCCATGCTTGAACGTTAGGATGACAGCCCTCCTAAATCACTTTTACGAAATCTATGTCAATCTGTTTCGGATTTCCCCTACCAATCCTTCCTTCCTTCCTGTTATGTAGTCCGCGTGTGTAGTCAGTCGTGATCCTTTGACATGTGCGCGATGCGTATCTTATAGGAAGACAGACACCCCAGGACATCCATTCATGTAACCCCCCTCTTCCTTCACTTCCAAGCGGCCCAGGGAGCGGGAAATGACCCATTGACTTCTTGACCCAGTGACCCATCCTGACAGGACAATAGGCCATCGGCAAAAGACTTCTCCAAAGCCCTCCGCACCACAGCCCCCTCGGGTTCAGGCACGTGCACACCAACATTTCGAAATTCGACACACCAACATTTCGAAATTCGACACACCAACATAACAGGGGACTTGCAAGCTACGACCTGTTGCATCAGAGCACCGTCCGTCAGCCAGTACCGTGTGTTGTAATTTAGTGAATATTCGTTCGGCACCTAGTGCTCTACAGGGGGGCATGCATACTACAGGCCAAGAAGAAACACACCCCAGTTTCACTCGGCCCCCCCGCGCCCATTATATCCATGTAGACACGAAAAGACACCCGTAGGAGTGTGCCCAACCTAGGGAACCCCCCTGGGCCTATCGTCCAGGGACCGCGACCGCGCCCAAGCCGGCAAACCCGTCGCACTCTAAGCATCGGCATGACCCCCGTGACAGGAGAAATCGGTACCCCAAACCCAGTGCTGGTGTACCTTGCAGAAAAGGGACTCGACTGTACACCAGTAGCGCCACGTAACCCCCGCGCCGGCGCAGGCGCGGGGGCGGCAAGGGCCGGTCCGAACACCGCCGACAGGGACCACGCCGGTGATCCGCCTGCGCCCGAACCGGCCAGAGCGCTACCGGGGGCACCGAAGCCACCAGAGCACCTCACCCCGCAATGGTGGAGACCTCGATGGAAAGTCGCCCGCGATCAAATACTGGAGGACAGGATACCCTGGAAGCCTGGAAAAGGCCAGGCAAAGGACACAACGGGGCAACAACAGATAGTTTATGACCTATACAACGATGTAGAGGACATCGTAGAAGTACTCGCGGGCCCTATCACAAAACGCATCGTCCCCTCAAACGTTAAACCTCCCAAGAAACAGAAAATCGGGGCCGATACAACCGCAACCCACGAACAGTACTACACGGTTCGCTGGAAAGACACTATCACCCCGATATCTATCGTCGGCGCATACGCCAGCGTGGGATACGTGCCCAGACAGCTATTACCAGTGACAGGTCTTTACGGCACGCGGATCGACCGCCACTTCCGCAGAGCGGTATGGGAACCGTCAGATATCCCCGCCGCGCAACTCGGTAGGTTACCCAACGGACCAGCGGCGATGGCGAGATACGAACAAACGAGGTCGCAGAGCGTGAACCTCCTCTCGAGATACCCCAAACCCAAGGACAGCAATCTAACGAACCCTCAGAGGCAAGGCCGATGGAACCCGCCCCCCTCGGAGCAGACCCAGCGGGCACGCCTTATTCGAGCAAACACTACCTTTGAGACTGCGCCGTGCAACCCATACATGGACACGCGCCCCACGGGAAATTATCGAATCCAGCTAGGTCTGCTAACCAGAGAGGGCGGCTCGACCGAAGGGAACACGGCCTTCGTCTACGACCCGAGAGGGAAATGCGTGGGCACCCTCACCCTGCAACGCCTGGAGACCCTCAGAATGCGATATCAACACACGATCGACACTTACCCGGAGGTGCACAGAAGCCTGTCCTCCCAGGGCGGCTTCGCCGAGGACGTCGCGCGCCTTCTCCTGCGGTACGGAAAGGACCCCGACGGGCGCGAATCGAAAGGCCCGCCACGGTCGCAGGCGACCATGAGCAGAAAACTGCGCTGTACGCTGATTGATGCCCTGCACGCCCTGGATGCCGGCCCAGTCGTCGAAAGGTTCTCATCCCCGCTTAACTGCGGTGAAGAGGTGCAATACTACTTCAGTGTCCACGCAGAAGACCAACTCTTCGGGGCAAACATAGATGCATTCTCTCAGCCATTTACAGGCCTCTCGATAGCACACCCGAACCCTGACCCCACCAGTGTCAAGAAGGCAGTAATGTGGGCAGGGGGATCCTCAGAGTCGA